TTTACAGTCTTCTCATAGGACACACCACAGGCTAGCCTTTCCACCTCCTTCATTCTTCTTTCTTTTTTTATCATCTTTTACCCCCTTTCTAAGATAGACCTTTCYWTTGGYRAACTTCCTTTTGGCTTCTTTTTGTTCCTCTCCTTTTACTTTGGGTATCTCTCTACAGCCTTCTTCTCCCTCATCCAAACGGCAGTCTTCCTTTTCCTTCTCTTGGGTACTTGCAATAACTTCATTTCCCCCCCTCATCCTTTTCCAAAACCATCACATTAAACAATTTCTCCTCATTGTCTTTTCCACCATCCCCTCCTTTTTCTATTGCACATGGGTCATTATCTGCCACCGGTGACATTTTAACAGCTGGAACTGCAAAATCCAAAGGCTGAAGATTACTACAAGGATCAAAATCAAATGAGTTTTGATAGAAAAGTTGAGGCGAAGAAAGAACTAGATTGAGAGGAAGGGGGGAAGAGACTCCCTGATCTTGAATTTGGATTTCATCGATTCCTCCAAAGACAAAACCAGATGGTTCAAGTTCAGGTACAGTGTCCACCTGTGCAGCTGGGGGGAGTTGTTCCTCAAGTGGTTCCAAAGTCGGTTTGCTATGGAAACCCGTCTCCACAAAATTGCCACCCTATCTTTGCTCTTGATTTGTATCCATTTTCTTCTCTCTCTAAGAATCACTTGTAGGCCTTCCACTTTCCACAGTAAGGTTACCAGCCCCTGAATCCTATATCTCCAGAATCTCCGTACCAGCATCTTCAGAGAAGAGCAGTTCAGTTCCGAAAGCTTCAGAGTCTAAAAGTTTGCAGGTCTTTGTCGAATTGATGCTACCAATACCTGACAACAGATCACCCTCGTCTTCTTCCACGTCTCTTAACGCCTCCCAATCTGAGTCATCTTCAGAGTCTCCTTGTGGGACCCTATTGTAGCGAGGGTTTGGCTTCTCAGGCGTCATGGAGTTTTCTTCAGTCGTCGGCCTCCAATGCAGCTTCAACCCAGTCGCCGATGTCTTTCCCGCAGCCGGAGGAAGAGGAGGGGAGGGTTTTCTGATCATCGTTCCTGTTTGGGGATGATTCGAGCGGATAGGCACTCCATGGAACGATGATAGACCACAATCATCGTCCCCCATCGACGCAAGGGAGCATTGCGCATGACTTTTAAAAGGGTCACGTGACCCAACTTGAAAGACCTGGCCCAGATTAGACTTTCGGATCGGGTTATGTAGACCCGGGTCGGACTTTTTAATTGATTTTGTAAATTGAGCGCGAGGTGGCCCTTTTTTCGATTGCAGCACCTCAGCATAGGATTTCTTTTGGGCCGTTGGATCCCATTCGCATTTTTTCAAAAAATCTCCCTTAGATGGCCAAGCAGTCTCCTTAATCTATTGCCCGAATTTTCTATTTCCGTAAACGCCTTGTCAACTTGACCTTTTGGACGTTCCACCCAGCTCTCACCACATGGCCTCCAACAGTCCACGCCATCATCTTCTTCTACCTCCACTGTACCACAGCCTTGCTTTGACTTCCGACGCCAACCACACCTTTCTCCAACAGTCATCCGCGAAGATGTCCAGGCTTCTTGGGATTTTTTCCAATCTTCCACCTGCAACTTTAATCTTTGCCGTTTGAAGGTTTTGCATGCAAAAACCTTCCAAG